CCCTAATTGGAGAATTTCTATTGCAATTCAGAACTTTCTTCTTGAGTTAATTGTTGGGTTCCAACATTTTCTACTAGATATAAAATAGGTTACTGTGAAACAGAGTGTGTTCTTGCGAGGTGCTTATAGATTCCGAAATATGTATATCGGATATTTCTCGTTTATTTTCGGTCCCGCCTTCCAAATTTGCAACGTCTTTCAGGTAAGGTACAAAATACTAAAGAGAAGAAAACATCTATATTCCAAAGTATTAAAAGGTAAAGAAATTCAACAGAAAAACATAGCACTTAAGTATGACTTTCAATCAAGAGAATTCACTTGGTTCAATAAGCAAATAGAACGACTCTTGAAAATCCGCAATGTTGCTTCAAATAGTTTACCTAAAGTAAGGACTTAACTGCATTTGTTAGCTTTTTTAAGGAGAAATAATGTAATGTTGATTCCAAATCGAAAGGCAATGGATTTCTTCCCTATCCATCACTAAAATGAAACAAAATCTCAAAGTCACAATCTCAAGATGAACAGACAACCTAATATTTGGACATTGCATGCTACTTGTTGTACCATGTTCTCTCCAAATCTGTATATTTCATTGAGAGATAGTATGGTCACTTTCGCTGTTTGTATTTTTTACTGAAATGCTATATAATTTTAATTTCTTTTCATCAGCATGCAGCTAAATCTACATGCACATCAGTACCAAAAATTACCCATTTGCTTGCTTGAGCCACGTGATACTAGAATTTTCATGTGCACGTGTACCTCCAACCTTCAGAATGTTTGTGCAAATACAGAAAGAAAGTCATTTTACTTATGTGTGCATATATACAAACCTGACATGACAAACAAGCCCGACTTTTAACAAATTGTAAATTACCTGTGGCTTTGAAGAACCAGGAGAAAAGCTATTCTGATTCCATTCCGGTCGAGGGAAACCAGAAGTTTTCCCTAGAGGCGAGTTTGAATGCAGCTGCATAGTAACATCAGGGGGCATATGCTGACTCTTGTTGTTGCCATTAACTGACTGTTGCACAACTCCATTGGCATTCAGAGGACCTGCTTGACCATTGGCAACAAGGTTGGGATTTTGAGAGATCACTGGACCACAACCTGGCATTTGCATTTGCATTTGCAGAAGCTGGTTAACGTTTTGCATTGAATTCAGTAAATTTAATTGCCCATTAGGCAAAAACTGAGGCGGGTTCATTGCATTCTGCGCCAATAATGAACCCAATACTTGAGATGGATTATTATTATTATTATTCATTTGATTAAGCGCAATTAAATTCAAGTTAGGGTTCTGTAGTGACCCTTGCGGAAAAGGGAAAAACTGGCTAGGCGCAAAACCGGTATTTAGGTTAGCAAACGGCAATGGAATCCCAGGATTGAGCATTCCCATTCCCATTCCCATTTGAAGTTGATGCTGAATTGGCAGTGGGTTTGGGCAAAAACTACCTGGATTTGCCATAACCTGATGTCAACCAACAAAGCAAAATCATAAAATTAGCAAAATCAACAAAAATAAAACACATGCTGACATGAAAACATACACACGCATAGACAGAGGCACCTGTTGATTTCCCGAATAAGTAGCTCCATGGGATTGAAGTTGATTAGAGTGGTAAGGATTAGAATTGAAGCGCGGACGCATTTTTAAAGTTGGAGGAGCAAGCGCGTATTTAGGGCTTCAGAAGAAACAAACGGAAGCAGAAGAATAAGTTTTGGTGCACTATTTAAACCGACCCGGGAACTCAATATTTTTCGTATTTACGGGTATAATTTGTCCAGTGTTACATAATG